GAGTCCTTGGCGGCGGCTCTGAGGACGTTCTGATGAAGCGGCTGTGACTCCTGTGAAATGTCAGTCATGCACATTTTAAGCAGCAGAGAATAATGTTGGCTTTATGTCAGAAGATGCTAATAATATGTCACACAAACAAAATGTCTTTACAACTTTGTCCTCAGGGAACGCACAATCGAACAATATTGTTCCATGAAACTTAAACTCAGGAAGCCCAGACAGCCTCAAGCAGAGACTTCCAGTCAAGTTTAGACCGGAGAGACTCTAATCTGTTGATGTGAATCATTGGATTGTCTGTTGGGGTTCTGATCTCCTGCTTTTATTCATATATAAACCTGTTAGGTCAAAGGTCAGCACATGTATGTCCTGACTCCCAGTGAAGCCTTCATCCCAACACTGATCCATGCTGGTGATGGACCCAGACTGCTTGGGGTCCCTGTCATCCCTTCAGTGTCTGTGGACAAGCTTCCTCCTCCGCTCTGACTCCAGGCTGCAGCACCTGTGACTTCTTTTCTGCCGAGGTGCTTCAGTTCATGCCTGGGAACATGGTCCCAAAGGATGGTCTTGTTTCTGTTTATGTCAAAGCTATACACTTAAATCTGATTTAAGTCAGATCCTCTGCAACCTGCGCCCCATAAATCTGTGAATGGAACTTTGGGACAGAGGAAATGATTCTCGAGCTCTGGAAACAATGTTCTATTTTGTCTACAGTCTTCTTAACAGTTATCGTCTTTGCCCGCCCCTCTTCCTTCCGATGTCATCACGTTGGTCGGGATCATTGGTCAGGTACCACCGTGAAGTCTGTCGTATGTGGCACGGATTCATGGCTCTGTGAGGCCTCAGCTTCTGTCTGTACGGAGTTCAACATGTTTGATCTGAAGAGGACATGAAGACAGGTCTCTAAGCAACACACCTCATCGTGTGTGTGTGTGTGTGTGTGCGTGTGTGTGTGTGTGTGTGTGGCTTTATGTATGAAATATGATGAGTGAGGGAGACACAAAGAGAGCGATATCCTCTTGAGAAATAATGAGGACACTTCATAATAGGAACATACACACATACAACCACACTGCAATGAGTCCATTTACTCTGTGTGTGTGTGTGTGTGTGTGTGTGTGTGTGTGTGTGTGTGTGTGTGTGTGTGTGTGTGTGTGTGTGTGTGTGTGTGTGTGTGTGTGTGTGTGTGTGTGTGTGTGTGAAGTGGTGACTCAGCCTGTGTTGTAGCGTGTGTGTGACACGGTGACTCAGTATGTTTTGTTGTCTTGTTAACCATCCTCACTTCCTGCAGCTTGAGAGGGCAGGGAGCGTCTCACACACACACACACACACACACACACACACACACACACACTTTGAATCATGAGTGTGTGTGTGCAGCCTGTGTTCAGAGGATTCAAACCTGAGATCAGATGTAGCACACCTGGATTAGAAACGCGTCATTGGTTCATGTTTGATCCTGGACGATCTACAAGACTCAAAGAACGTTGATATCAAACGTCATGGAGTTAATCAATCCATACGATCTTTGTAAAACAAATCCCAACCAAAGTGACCTTTGACCCCTCATAAGAGCAGATCTGGACCGAACACTTTGTAATTTTAAAACGGTTTTCACTCCTCACATGTTTGGTTCAAACCAGAACCAGGACCACGTTAATAACGAGGTCCTGGTTCATCAGAATCATCAGACTCAGAATCAGAACAGTTCAGCATTCACATTACTTTGATGTTTTACTGACTGGGGGGCTGATGAGAGTCTGGGTACTGTGGGAGGAGGGGGGAGGGCAGGGACATTGTTCATCAGGCTGACAGCAGAGGGGAAGAAACTGTTCTTGTGGCGAGAGGTTTTGGTCTTGATGGACCGCAGCCTCTTGCCAGAGGGGAGAGTCTCAAACAGTCCATGAGTCCAGAGCTCTATGGACAGCAGCACAGTCCCCCAGCTGTGGAAACACTCCACAGTTATCCCCATCCCCAAGAAAAGCCCCGCCAAATCGCTGAATGACCTCAGTTCCTGTGGCCCTCACGTCTCTGGTGATGAAGGCAATGGAGAGGATCATAAAACATGTCGGATCATGCAGGACCCCTCACACACTCTATGGACAGCAGCACAGTCCCCCAGCTGTGGAAACACTCCACAGTTATCCCCATCCCCAAGAAAAGCCCCGCCAAATCGCTGAATGACCTCAGTTCCTGTGGCCCTCACGTCTCTGGTGATGAAGGCAATGGAGAGGATCATAAAACATGTCGGATCATGCAGGACCCCTCACACACTCTCTTCCCTGCGTTTGAGTGGCTCCCTTCAGGACGCCGGCTTCGCTGTCTCTGCTGCAGGACACAGAGGAGGAGAGCAACCTTTGTTCCTAGGGCTGTCCAGCTCCTCAACTCCTAACCCCCCCCCCCCCCCAACAGACACCAACACCTCTCATCCAATGCAGACTCTCAGCTGTGAACTTTGCTGCTTTTACTTCCTTCCATTAGCCGTGCACCTTAACTGCCTCTGCTTTATCTGGTCTCATGCACTACATCACTTTAATCTATCCATTTGATTTCAGTATTCATACAGTTCTGGTTACTTTATTCCTGATGTTTCTTATCCATCATTGCACTACGGTCACTTTATTTATCTCATTTTTACCTTACAGTTATATTGTATATATTAATTCTGTTGTTCCATTATTCACCATGCACCTTAATAACTTATCATTTAGTATTTGCCTTCTTGCACATAGTTCTGTATATATATATATATATTTATTTCTTGTTTACTGCACATAGTTCTGTTTACATCTGGACACTACTGCACATAGCTCTGTATATATATATTTATTTCTTGTTTACTGCACATAGTTCTGTTTACATCTGGTCGCTACTGCACATAGCTCTGTATATATATATTTATTTCTTGTTTACTGCATATAGTTCTGTTTACATCTGGTCACTACTGCACATAGTTCTGTTTACATCTGGACACTACTGCACATAGCTCTGTATATATATATTTATTTCTTGTTTACTGCATATAGTTCTGTTTACATCTGGTCACTACTGCACATAGTTCTGTTTACATCTGTTTACATCTGTTAGTCCGATCATTGTCCACTTATATCTACTCTTTTATATTTTGTATTTTTAAGTTAAGTTTAAGCTTTAAATTGTATTTAAATTGACACTTTATATTTAGGTTAAAATGTCTCATCTACTTGCACTGTTGTTAATTTACTGCTCTGTGTGCCTTTGAATTGCCCCCTGGGGACAAATAAAGCTTTTTGAATTGAATTGAATTGATGTGCGGGGTGAGAGGGGTCGGTGAGACCTCAGGGTCCTGAAGGTGTACAGATCGTGGAGAGATGGCAGGTTGCAGCCAATCACCTTCTCTGCAGAGAGGACGATGAGCTGCAGCCTGCACTTGTCCTTTGCTGTGGCTGCAGCGTACCAGACTGTGATGGAGGAGGAGAGGATGGACTGCTACACTGATGGCAGTGTAGCAGTGAACCATCATAGTCTTTGGCAGGTCGAACTTCTTCAGCTGCCGCAGGAAGTACATCCTCTGCTGTCCTTTCTTGATGAGGGAGGCGATGTTCAGCTGCCACTTGAGGTCCTGGGTGATGATGGTCCCCAGGAAGCGGAATGACTCCACAGTAGACACCATGGATTCATCGATGGTGATGGGGCTGGAGGATTAACGTGGTCCTGGTTCAGGAGGACTGACGTGGTCCTGGTTCAGGAGGATTAACGTGGTCCTGGTTCAGGAGGTCTAATGTGGTCCTGGTTCAGGAGGATTAATGTGGTCCTGAACTATCTTGATGGCGTCTTCAGAGACTCCAGAACATCAACATATTATTTTCAAACTGTCTCGTTTGCCTTCAGTGATGAACACAGACATTATAAAAACTGAGCCGGCATCAGTCCGCGTCATCGTCCATTTATAAAGTTTAAAATGTCTTTGGTGGATCTAGAGGTGTGAAAACATCCTTAGAAGGCTGCATGCACAGTGACAACTGTTTGATATACTTTCTTTTTACTCACTGATTCCACTGTGCAGAACTCGGAGCCCAAGAGAAATGTGGACAATGAAGTGGATCGTATCTTATCGTATCAAAACATATCGTATCGTACTGTATCGTATCGTGCTGTTTTAAATACTAAAGTATTGCATCATAGAGTATTATATATTATCCTAATGTATGGTTTTTGTAATTTGTATTGTATCATAACGCACAGCACCATATCGTGTCGTACTGTACCTTTAAAGTACCGTATCTTATCGTATCGTGTCTTATCGCCGAGTAAGGTTGTTGAAGATTTAAAACATGTTCCAAATACATCTTCTCTTTGTTTGTACCAAAAATGTGTAGAAAGAACTGATCATTCAGCGAACATGATTTGATGTCATGTTGGCTACAGGTGGTCCCGTGAGGTTTCTGCTGCTGGTCGAATGGATGAATTATGAAAATAAAAGTTGTACTATATTGTAGCTTTCCATGAATATAAACTTAAAGATAGTAAACAGTAGAGTTTCGTCCATCAGTCACACAACTTATTTACCTGAGGTCAACCTGAATGCACTTTACAAACAGTGACAGTAACGTGTGTGTCAGTCCTGCACGCACGTGCTCTCAGGGTGAGGAGGGGGATGCTAGGGGGGGGGGGCTGCAGGATGGAGGATGTACAGGGAGGAGGAGGAGGATGTGGGAGGTCTGTGAGGAGTTCAATGACCTGCCTGGCCTTCCCCTCTTCAACTCTGATCTACCCTGAGAAACTCTGGGAATTGTAGTGTCACTGAGATGTAGAGCATCTTATTGTTTTGAGTTGTAGTCCTCTAAGTGTTTGTTCTAAAGTCACAAAGTCACACAAAGTCTTAGCTATATGTACTATATTAGTATTAAAATGTCACTGTTCATCTTTCTAAGATTATCTTTAATGTAAATAGTTGCTAGAACTCCATATCCCATACTGCGTTGGGTTTTGTGCGCATGCGCAGTTAGCGTGGGGTACTCGGTAGGCGAGTCGGTGGAAAATGACTGGAGGGAGGCTGTTATCTGATGCTAATTTAACACTTTATCGCCATGAATTGTGTTTCATTTTGAGTAAAGTCGTGTTGTTATCTTTTTTAAACGTGTACCGAGCAGTAGTCCGTGATATGTGCTGACCGTTGAGGCTTTTAGAGACGGTTAAAGCGGTGAAATCAGCGGCGGAGCGGAGCCTCCCACACGGACAGGATGCCTCGGGACAACAAGACCCCTCTGATCCAGAAGATCGCCAAGCAGGCCTACATCACCTACAAAGGCTTTAAGAGTGAATCTAACGGGGATAACAACCTGTTACCGGACAGACACTCGGAACTCCTCTCTTTAGTCACCGCCATCAGAGCCGCCGACCTCAAAATCCCACCACGGAAAGCCAAAGCGAGCCCCGGGGCATCGGGGCCCCACAACCCCCCGGTCACCTACATGCACATCTGTGAGACGGAGGTGTTCAGCATGGGCGTGTTCCTGCTCCGGACCGGGGCCTCCATCCCGCTGCACGACCACCCGGGCATGAACGGGATGCTCAAGGTCTCTGCACCTCCTTTGTGTCACCTGTGTCTGGTGTTACGGTGGAAAGAGCGACCGTGCTAAGCGGTGACCTGCGGCCGCATGCTTCTGTGGTTGTCATGGTTACAACAGATGTATTTTCTGTTATGCGTATTAAAAACGAAACCTTATATGTTAGTAATTGGAGCTTTTTCCAGCCCTAATGACAAGTCTGCATGTTCATAACTTGATGTTTGAACAATATCATTCATACTGAAACAAAATGTTTTCCCTCCGCCTCGTTAATAAATAATTTAGTCTCTTTATTTGACTAATATATCTGTTGAGATATGAGGGAGTCCTGGTCATAAAGTTCACCACAAATAATGGATTGTTTACTTTCATTTTTTATGAATCAGTTCAATAATTTTTTAATTTATTAATACATGTTGAGGTAACCATGGTAACCTGTGTGTGCTTGTCTGTGCCCTGTGTGACGTTTAGGTGCTATATGGGAAGGTGAGCGTCCGTTGCTTCGATAAGCTGGAGGATCCCCCGTCGGTCAGCCTGCCTCAGTTTGACCCTCCCCTTGCTCCTCCACAGGCGGCCTCCGTGCGGCGCTCCGTCCTGCGCTCGGTGGCTGAGTACTCGGAGGGCAGCGGGCCGTGCCTCCTCACTCCTCTGAGGCATAACCTCCATCAGATCGACGCCGTGGACGGGCCCACCGCCTTCCTCGACATCCTTGCTCCTCCATATGACCCAGATGACGGGCGGGACTGTCACTACTACAGAGTCCTGCACGCGGAAGGGGAGGGGGAGGCAGGCGGGGCGCTCTGAACTGCCCCGCCCCCCCACAGGAGAGTCATATCACCTGGACTTCAGAGCATGAACTCAAAGGATAATCCTCCTTCCTGAGGAGCAGCTCCTCTCGTCTCCTCTGACTGACGATCCAAACGTTCTGTGAATGTTTGTTCTTCTTCTCTGCTGCGGACGACCTCACACATCCTCACCTGAACGCCAAAGCCTGAGAGGCAGGGCGGGGCGATCCGGCAACAACCGTCCCCGTTATTATTGAGACTGTCCTGATGATAACAGACAGATTATTATGAATTATTAACATCCTGTTTCTGACGTCAGAAGTGAAAACAGCAGCTTCATGAATCACCAGGAAGGGCTCATGGAACGTTTCTATGGCGTGGTTTAAAACTACATAATCTCCATTATTTTAAGATCGAAGGCATCAAAAAGAACCAGATCTAAAAACACATCTCTAGACAGGTGTTGAATAGACAGGTGTGTAACTGCAGACAAACTCCTGCACACCTTAATGTACAGAAACATGGTCAGTGTGACTTCAGAGTTCATCAGGTGTTTGAATTCTCCTCCAGCGCTCCTCGTCAGGACACAACCACAGATAAAACATGAAACAAAATACGGTTACAATCACAGTGTTACCTGAGAAGGCCCCGTGTCCACCTGGCGTTTTATCTGGACAGGAAAGTGCCGGCTGTGCGCTCGGGAGCGTTTGCATGAAGCGTTCGTGTGCTGAGAAGAAAAGTCGCTGCATGTCCGTCCTGTCTCCATGACAGCAGTCTGTTGACCACGGCTGCTGCATGACCCACACTGCTCCGTTACTTTTCACTGCATGTTTTATATTTGAGGTCGTTTATGTCCGATCAGACACGATCCATTGGCGGCTAAAATATGGGGAATATCAAACATTTGGAAAAGCGCCTTTCTGAAAAGTTGGAACGATTTTCAACTTCGCTTGGAGAAGTCACAAAAAAAAAAAAAAACGAGTGCCTTTTCTCCTGGTGGCTGCTGTCTGCTGTGAACGCTCTCCACTCATTGAAAACAATCGAAAAAAGACACTGACGCTCAGAGAGAAACGCCATGTGGACACGGGGACTAAATGAGTCTGTTGGCTCGGTTTGTTTCCGACCTGCAGACAGCCGATGACTCTACTTCTCCTGCTTCCTGTTCGTTACTTAAAAACATCAGAGATCTTTAGAGTGCTGCTGACATGCGTCCGTTTGACTGACAGCTTCAGACTGTAGTTCAACGTGTTCATAATGTGTTCAAAGGTCATCATCATCATCAAGGGTAATGAGGACCGAGCTGCTTGATCGCCCGCCCTGCATATTACCTTACCTGCCTTATGTGTGATTATTGAATGTAAACTTTTTCTACACATGTTTCTTTTCTTAAAGTGCACACACACTACATCACATGGAGATATATATATATATATATATATTATATATATATATATATATATATATATATATATATATACTTTATTTTTATGCTTAAATCATTCCTGCTCCTTCTCTCGTCTGATTGGTTAAAGGAGGCTCTGAGTCACTCACAGGTATAGTCTGAATGTCTCCAGTAGGTTTCTAGGGTCCTGGTACCCCCCACAGCCCAGGAGGAGGCGCTGCTTGCACTCACCTGTGACGTACATTAAGAAACAACCAATGAGGCAGCAGCAGACCAACAGCTCCTAACATCTCTGTTTTTATGAAGTGTGTTTGTAGAGAGGGATGTCACTAGAAGGTCTCTCTCTGTAATGATGTAACACTTAAAATAACAACCGGAGCCCGTCAGGGACAAACGTGACGACTTTTGAGTGGACACACACTTCAGGCCATCGTTGATATGAATCTAAAACCACCGCCCAGGTTTTAAAAACTAACCTGACGTGACCTCTGAGGTGATGAAGCTGATGTTCAGCTCTCACTCCGTGTTCTGTGACTCAGCTGTCAGAACCGACCCGGAGACATGTGACACTTCAAGACATTCTGACTTCACTGCTTTGTACTTGTGGCTTCTTAAACACTTACCTGAGCTCAGTGTCCTCTTCAGCCTCACACACACACACACACACACACACACTCACACACACTCACACACAGCCTCTCACACACTCACACACACACACAGCCTCAGACACACACACAGCCTCTCTCACTCACTCACTCACAAACACACACACACACAGCCTCTCTCTCACTCACACACACAAACACAGATACACAGCCTCTCACACACACACACACACAGCCTCTCTCTCACTCACACACACACACACACACACAAACAAACAGCCCCTCACACAAACTCAGATACACACACACACACACACACTGGTCACAATGACACAATGATTGTGTTACTCTGATGATGTAGAATGTAAAATAATAAACTCCATGTGAATGATCTCCCGCCTGTGGACTCCAGTCTGTTCAAACATCAGCTTCACAATAAAAGGCTGTTAGAGTTTAAACATCTGACCTTTGACCTTTCACAGCAGGAGAAACTGGTGAGATCAAAGACGTGAGGCAGGTTTATAAATGGAGCTGCTCATACAGCTTTACAGAGTTAAACATCCTGAGTCATCTGCTCTGTGTAGTGTTCAAAATGCTCCAGCAACACTTTTAGTATGAAGATCAACTTTTAACAAAAGACCCTGCTGAAGGCCACCAGCCCAAACGCGTCGGCCTGATTTGTTAATAAAGTTTCTGGAGCATTTTGACCTCTTCAAGCCTTTCACTCTTCATGCACCAGGTTAGTTGGTGAAGTTGTGCCAGAAAATCCTGCTTTACTTCTTCAGTGATAAAGCGTTCTGCAGTCCCCGTCTACAGAGTCTCACCTTCCATCAGACGACTGTTACAGAGTGAGGGAGACGGTGACCTCCATCAGACGACTGTTACCGAGGGAGACGGTGACCTCCGTCAGACGACTGTTACAGAGGGAGACGGTGACCTCCGTCAGACGACTGTTACAGAGCGAGGGAGACGGTGACCTCCATCAGACGACTGTAACAGAGTGAGGGAGACAGTGACCTCCATCAGACGACTGTTACCGAGGGAGACGGTGACCTCCGTCAGACGACTGTTACAGAGCGAGGGAGACAGTGACCTCCATCAGACGACTGTTACCGAGGGAGACGGTGACCTCCGTCAGACGACTGTTACAGAGCGAGGGAGACAGTGACCTCCATCAGACAACTGTTACAGAGCGAGGGAGACGGTGACCTCCGTCAGACAACTGTTACTGAGGGAGACGGTGACCTCCGTCAGACGACTGTTACAGAGCGAGGGAGACGGTGACCTCCATCAGACGACTGTTACTGAGGGAGACGGTGACCTCCGTCAGACGACTGTTACAGAGCGAGGGAGACGGTGACCTCCATCAGACGACTGTTACAGAGGGAGACGGTGACCTCCGTCAGACGACTGTTACAGAGCGAGGGAGACAGTGACCTCTGTCAGACAACTGTTACAGAGCGAGGGAGACGGTGACCTCCATCAGACGACTGTTACAGAGCGAGGGAGACGGTGACCTCCGTCAGACGACTGTAACAGAGCGAGGGAGACGTGACCTCCATCAGACGACTGTAACAGGGGAACTAAGGTCAATGTCGGGACAGACGCAGTCCTCTCCCACGCTGAGTCACAGGACACTCTTTGTGTCAGCACTTGAACATCTCTTCATCTCTGTAGATCTTTGTTGAAGGGGATTTCAGACACTTTAAATGTTGATGTTTCCTTTAAAGAATGAACCCTCACTGCTGCTATACAAATGGTGCGTGTCCACAAGGCCTACGTGTCCCAGCTTGCCTTGCAGTATTGCTTCAGCCATATAGTTGCAGAAGAAAGACATCTAAATGTTCAGTAAGACAAAATGTGTTCTCGTCCGAAACACTGTGCTCGTGTTTTTCATTTGTGTGTTCGAAATTCAACATCAGAGGAAGATAAAATCCACTCTTAGTAACCCTGGGAGGGAGAGAGAGAGGGAGAGAGAGAGGGAGAGGGAGAGAGAAAAAGAGAGAGAAAAAGAGAGGGAGAGAGAAAGAGAGCGAGAGGTTTCCTCTCAGCTGCTGAGGGTCTCACTGAGCGGTTCAGACAGATTTGGTTTGATACCGAGCTGATCTTCATGTGTTCACTGAGCTCCGCGCCTCAGATTAAATATAATTATCCTCCATTCTTTTGATTAAAGTCCATCAGATCGTCTCAGAGGGGAAAACTGAAGACAACAGGAGCCGATTGTCTGAAGACGCTGGACGAGATGGGAGATATGTGTGTGTCTGTGTTTGTGTGTGTGTGCATTTGTGTGTATGGGTGTTATGTGTCCCTAGTCCCCCCAATGATGAGTAAAGTCCATCCTCTTCGTCTTTTGCCTGCTCCACTTTTCAGAAAATGTGTGCTCAAACAGGCTGTTTGGAGATTTTCCCCTCATGACATCACAAAGGGCAGTAACCCCTCCCCCAGGTGGGTGACACTCACACAGCTAGGTGTTTGTTCTGCCCTCTAAGGGGGGGTCTCACTGGCCATCCGTACCAGCACAAGCACGCAGGTACACAACGCTGACAGCCTTCATTATGGAGAAATCCAGAGTTTCATGGCTGTATCTGACTAACATGACACAATATAAGACACAAAGTAGCTGTCATGCTCTGTGTTGTTCTCCGATGTGCGGGCGTGGACTCGCCTGTGGACTCGGCCGCACGTCCATTTTATTTTTTAATTTATTTATGGCTGTGTCTCATTAAAATGGCTTAAAATAAGCTAAGTCAGTAAATTAGCTGTCATGCTCTTTGTGTTTTTCTCTGATGTGCAGACGCGGACTCAACTGTGGGTCTCTTTTTCTCTCTCTCTCTCTCTCGTCCGCCTGTTTGTAAACTGAGCACGCTTCAAAATAACATAAAGCGTGCACGTGTTGTATTAAGACGTTATGTACAAGAGGTAATCGTGCTTTTAGGCACGGTTAGTCCTGGCCAGTATGCCGGCCAGCGTGGCAATGGCGCAGCGGGGGGGCAATCGTGCTTGAGTACAGCACGGTACAGATGACCAGTGTAACCGCGCCCTCAGTCTGCCTTCTCACCGTAAACAATAGGACATGGAGCGAGAAAGCCCGAGACACCCAAGCCCTTCCAGGGAGGGGGCGTGGTCAGACACAGCTCATTTACATTTAAAGGTACAGACACAGAAACAGCCTGTTCTGAGCAGGGCTGAAATAGAGGGGTTTATAGACATGATCAAATACAGGATCAGAGTGGATTAAGAACAAGAAGCTTCACACACATGTTTTGAGGAGCTCTGAGACTTATTTAATCGGGTTGAAGAGGAGGAGAATATGTCACCTTAAATATTTGTCTGATTGTTGTTTATGTGAAACTCTGCTAATCGTGCTGCGGCCCGCCTCGACCAGGACGCTCTGTAAGAAGAGATCTTTAATGTCCTGAATGAAGTTTAAATGAAGTTTAAATAAAGTTTCAAACATAAAGAGTGTTGTCCTCAGAGCGTCCACTTCTGCTCCAGTTTATTTATTTGTGTTTTTATATATTTATAGATATTTGATCAGTCTGCTTTAAAATGTGTGTGACTCGTTTCTATTTCATCATTGAAGAAGTTTATTTTATGAACTTTGAATTAAAAACGTTTAAATTAAAGTTTTTATTTCTTTTAAATTTACAGAAGCTGCTGTTGTTTTTTTTACTTTTAACATGTTGATAGAAATCTGAACCTTTATTAATAATAACATGATAAAAGTGTGATAGGGTTATCCCTAACCCTCAAACATTAAAAAAATTAAACAACACAGAAACAGCTGTAGTCAGTGGCGTCTGTCGGGCCCTCCAACCAGTCTGCCATCGTCCTCTTCCTCTTCTTTCCTCTTCCTCTTTTCTCTCCTGCAGATGGATCACTCTTCTTCGTTTTCTTTGAACTTTGGTTTTCACGCTCAGCAGGACAACGAGAGTGAGAGATGGGACCCCCTTAGGGAGGTTTCCTACTGTCGTTGCAAAATTTTCACGTAGCTTTGGTTTGCGTTTGTGAGCCCTCACAAATTTTATCAAGTCCTCATCCCCGTGAACTTGAGGTCCAGGTGAACTTGATTCTCAACGTGTCTCTTTGATTGATTCTGGTGTTTTGAGACTTTTTACATTCTGACAAACAAACAGAGAGAACAAGAAATTAATTAAAGATTAAATCTGATTCAGACCATCGGGAGGATTACAGAAAGTGTTTGTTCTTTAAACTGTTTTTACATCGTAGTGTTACGATGTAAAAACAGTTATGTTTCTCTCTCTCTTCTTTTTGCTGCTTCATCCTCAAATACCTGAAGATTTTTATATGGTATACAAATAAAATAAAGGTTTTCAGAGGGGTCAGAGTTTAAAAAGGATATCACCTTTAATTGTATTTTTAAACAGAAAAGCTGCAGCCACAAATTAAACTGATTAAAACAACAAAGTGTTGGTAGGACGAAGAAGTCTGAGGATGTGAGGGCGCGAGGTGGGCGCGTGGGGTCGGCGGAGGAGCTGAAACAAATAATATATATAAATAATAATAAAAATATAATATAAATATATATATAAATATATTTTCAGCAGCTGTATGAAAGAGGACGCGCGGTTTTAGGAGTGTTTCTGTTTAGTCTGTAACACTGGGAGGATGTGAGGATTGTAAATACACCGGGGTTTGTTTATTTATTTATTTAGGCTATTTATTTTAGGAGGTAAACAAACTGAGGAAACTTGTTTTTATATTATTGTAAATAAATGTGAGAAAATGGAATCATTGAAACTAAGGAAGAAAAGTGAAAAGGAGATCTTCGCTAGACTTCTACCCACTCTTTTTAGGACGCATGGTACTTTTATTTTTTTTATTTATATGACACATAAATATATAGCCTAGATAAATATGTGACAGAAACACACAGTGAGTGGGTGACACTGAGTCAGAAGCCTTTGCGTGACGTAGGAGGGATTTACCCTAAAAAGTTTCCAACATCCTCTTCATCAGTCTTTAATAAACATGGAAGGGAAAGTGTTCAGAGCATCGTTTGGTTCCGTGAACGCATCACGGTGTTCGGAAAGGTATAAAAAAAAGTGAGACAGAAAGCAGCACGTGCGTTTATCAACATTTAATAAGTCAAACACACACACGTCACGACGAGATGAGTCCAACACGTTAAAACTTTTCACACCGAGTTACACCAGAGCACGAGTACAAAAATAAACTTTATAACTGTACAGATTACACACACACTCACACACACGCATACACACACTTTCACACACACACACACACACACACACAAACACTCACACACAAGCAGTGAGAGTACACACAGAGAGACACACACACACACAGCAAGGCACTGAGGGAACACACACACATACACACACACACACACACTTGTTATAAACACTTTGTCAATAATTTATTATTGCAGTTATTTATTTCACACTGACACGCTCACTGTGTGTCCACGCGCCCCTTGACGATCACTCTTTCTGCAGGTAAAAAGTGCATCCTTGTAACTGTCCGTGGAGCACGCGCGTGTGGATGTGCGTAATTACGCACGACTGTACACAGAGTCCTCCTGTTTGTCCTCGCTGCAGCTTCAGAGTTTCTCTTTAAAGTCTGTTTCCATCTGTCTGTCAGTCTTTTCAAGTTATTTCTCAAGGGTTAGTGTGCGTCACGCTGCCATGGTAACAACGTTTTTTCCCCCGGGAAACTATGAGCAGATGCTGGCTGCGCCGCGCTCCACACCGGAGCTGCTGGAGGAGGAAGAGGAGGAGGAGGAGACAGTGGAGGATTTCCTCTCCTTCTGCCGCAGGTGGATCTTCGTGTGTCTTTTCCTCTCGTCGCTTCGCGCGAACTTTCGTCCGCAGAAGTCGCAGGCGAACGGCTTCTCCCCGGTGTGCGTGCGGATGTGCGTGGTCAGGTGGTCGCTGCGGCTGAAGTTGCGCATACAGATCCGGCACTGGAACGGCTTGTGTCCGGTGTGGATCCGGATGTGTCGCGTGAGTTCGTCGGAGCGCGAGAAGCGGCGGTCGCATCCCTCTGCGGGGCACGGGTATGGGCGCTCGTGGATCGGGGTCTTGCTGGGTCTGTTGGGGTACTTCCGGGGCCGCAGGATCGGCCTGAGGGGCAGGTTTTGAGGACTGTAGGCTGAAGGGAGCCGCGGAGGACCCCCCTCTGAGCCACCGACACCGGGCCCCCCTAGAGTACAGTTCCTGATGGTGTTCAGGGGGATGAGCGGCGGGGGCACGCGGAAGGAGTCGAGAGGGCACGGGCCGAACGGTTTCCGGTCCTGGATCCCGGGCGCGTGCAGGTCCCGTTGACAGGCCGGCGGGAAGAAACCAGAATAGTCCGGGATGAGCGGGAAGAGCCCGGGTCCTTCCGAGCCGCAGGGCTGCTTCGGAGAAGAGTAGGAGGGCGGGGGGGTAGGAAGAGATGGGACAGGAGGAGGTGGACAGGAAGGCGGAGGGGTCCTGGTACACCTCCCCGCAGCCCGACGAGGAGGAGTAGGGAGGAGGGGGGGAGTACAGGTGATGGTGGTGGTCTAACTCAGCCGGGGTCTGCGCCGCCATGCTGCAGCTCAGAGCTCCGGAGGAGAAGTGAGGAGGAGATCCTGAGGAGGCCGGAGAGGAGGAGGAGGAGGAGGCAGCAGCAGCATGAGGAGGAGGACCGGCCACGTTGAAGATGCCCGACACGATGTTGATGACTCCCTCGGGGCTCCAGTTTGTCGGGTACTGGGAGTCGATGGAGAACTTTCCCATGTAGGTAAAGGTCTGGTTCCGGTGGTTCGCGGGCTGAGAGAAGCCACCGGAGTAAGAGGAGAGGTCGAGAGAGCGTCTGTCTGCTGCGCTCATCTCCGCGCTCATCAGGCCGTCTGAGAGAGAGAGAGAGAGAAACTGAGTGTTAACAGCAGAAAACATGCAAAAGTCTTCAGAATGCAGCGTTCACACGGTGACAGGAGGTGGCATCGACTCAAAACCTTAAATAATGAAACAGTTGAACGTTTCGATGTGAGGGAGAGGAAAACAGGGGGGAAAAAAAACTAGGGGTTCATTCAAAGAAACTGTCCAGAGAGGAGCGCTCCAGCTGTCTCTGTGCCATTACGCACGGACTCACACTTTAAACATTTTAACTTTCAGAAAAAGGGAGAAAAAGTCACCCACAGCTCGTGAAATAAGCACGTTGTATATTCTAGAGAGAGGCGCGCTCAGACTGAGAGAGGAGGTGAGTCCGATCATCAGGAACATTTCAACTCTTAGAATGAGTGAGAGCAAAAACAGTCTGCGCTCAGACTGAGATTGATACATTAATATTTGGAACAGATTTTATAAATGAGTGTGAGTAAAACATTTATATTCTTTTCTAGATATTTAAACTTTCAAGAGTAACAAGTTTTGTTTTTACACAGATTTTACACACAAAAAAAAAAAACAGATCAGAGGTTTTCTTGTGTTTCTCTTACCCCCCACATTGATTTGGTCGTAGTGCGCTCCCAGCTCGCTGTTGTTGTAGATGGTGACGGAGGTCGGCAGGTTGGAGCTGATGTCATCCACCGAGTACATGCTGTCAGGATGCGCGAACCCCCCGAGACTCACCGGGACCTTCTCCAGAGTTTTGGCCGTCATGATGGTGGACAAATAAATGTCTTTTTTTTTAAAGAAGTAAGAGTGTGTGACCTGCAGTGTGTCACCCCTGCATCACTCTCTCTCTCTCTCTCTCTCTCTGTATGTGTTTGTTTGTGAGGAGGATGAGCTCAGTGTGTCCGCTGCAGCTCACGCGCTCTGCTGATAAACTTCTCGGAGAGCTCGGAGTAAAGTGACTCTTATGGAGGGTCGGGGGCCCGGGCTCTGCTTTGTTTATAAGGGGAACCTTTTGAATCCCCCGCTACGTCATTGTCCAAATAAGGAGATGGGAGGGGTGAAGAGAGCCGAGCGAGGGACGCTGATTGGCAGCGAGGCTCCGTGACGTTGTGATAGGGAATCACTTGTGAATGGAGAAGCTAGAGATAAGAGTGAGTGTTTCCACTGAGTGCTGCACACACACGCACACACACACACACACACACACACACACACACACACACACACACACACCGATATACAACATGCACATATAAAACAAAGCTCAGAGAGAACACACACATGTGATTAAAGTTTATATTTTATATTCATCACCTCGTTTTCCTCATCGCGCTCATGTATGAAAAGAGGAATTCCGGTTCTTCTCTTTGAGCCATAAAAGGGAGATTCCGGTAACAGGGGGACGTCCCTCACGCTCCATATTTGGTTTCCGGAATGTGATCATCGAAAAAGTGACGAGTTTTGCCGAGCGGAGAGATAGAAAAGCCACAACCAAATGAGAGCGCGCGGAATTTAGTCCTGAACGCGCTCGGAAAGTTGTGTCATTTGAATAAATGCGCGAGGAAAGATTAATTCAGTGAGGCGTCAAATATAGACGCTGAAGGATATTTAAAGATACTGAGAGGAAATAGATGCAACCTATTTACAGAGGCGGGGGAGGGGGGGGGGGGGTCCATATGAGTAACTTTAAATTCACCCATCAAAATGTTCTGTGTTTATGTATCTCCACGCTCAGGATGTTTGATTGAATACATTTTATTATAACAGAGTTTCAGGTTTATAATGATCTGGTTTATTAAAATATTCTAAATGAAGTCCCTGCTTTGTGAGCAGGTCTTTGTCTTAAAGGGATAGTTGTGTATATGAAGTGTGTTTGAGGTACTGGTTTAGTGTATCACTACAGCTTAAGACAGGCTCGTATGGTGTGGTGCCTGAAGAAGTCGGTGTACTCTTCATTTTTCCCCAAAATGTTTTTTCTTTAAGTGTCCGGTCCAGCAGAGGATAAACAGCCTCTGTTATTAACAGCGACTTCTCCTACATATTTAGTTTGTGTGTATAACCAATCAGAGACCATCAGGGAAAGAAATCGCAGCATACTACACATTGTCAATCAATCAGTGGTGTAAATCAGAGGAGATTTAGAGGTGTGTGTACCCTCTGGAGACTGAAAAATAAGTGTGCAGATTGTTTAACCTTAGGGAGACTCGTTCAGGATAGAGCCACTGTGCTAAAGTGATGAAGTCTCCAGAGGGTATACACACATCCACATCTCCTCTGATTTACACCAATGATTGATTGACTCGCCCCCATCCTACTCTGTCTCTGATTGGTTAATACTCACTGACTGAATATCCAACATGGCGCTGTTCAGAGGCCTTTTATCCTCCGCTGGATGGGACACTGAAAGAAAACATTTTGGGGAAACATTTCAGAGAACAGCGACCACTTCAGGCGCCCCGACGCCGCTTAGAACACGTATGTGATGTAGAGGAAACAAAGTGAGAGATGAGAACGTTCTTACATCATCATCGAGTATTAGACCGTTTCTTTTTTTTTAATGAGCCAAACTGCGTGGTACAAACGACCACGTCTGTAGAGATGTAGCCGAAACGCCATGTTGTCACTCTGACCGGTCTCTCCTTAAAGAGGCGGAGCTAAACGACATCACCTGTAGATCAATAATACTCTGATTTATTAACAGAAACAAACTTCATACGAGCAGAGAGGACGAGTTGCAAACGCGAGAACGAGCTCATGACTAAAAACTGTTTATCATGAAGTCATCCTTCATTAAAGTTCATTATAACATATAAACTCAGTTTATTCTTTCATCTATAACTTCAAACTTTTATAGAAATGTTCTGATCCTGAGAGGTACAGAGAGAGATAACCTGAACCTGAGATAGACTTTAATATTTATTCATAAATATATTCATCATTGAATTAATGTAATATTTATGTAATAAAACGTAACATTTGGATTTAAGAATAAAAATATGATCATCCAAGTTTTCTGACACATTTAGTTCTTCAATAATAAACACTCAACATTAAAGACCCAAGACAGAAGTACGCCCTCCTGTGGCCACAAGAGGAACTGGTCCTCACACACACACACACACACACACACACACACACACACACACACACACACACACACACACACACACACACACACACACACACACACACACACACACAAACTAACACACATACACACAGTATGAACTGTCCCTCTGTGGGTGGAGATGTTGACAGAAAACAGAAAATGCCAGGCTCTGAGGTGGAATCTAGTTTCCATGTGTGTGTGTTAGTTAGTGTGTGTATGTGTGTGATGCTCATAAGTCAGTGATCTATTTATAGGTTTGTTATCGATGACTGACTGAAGCTTTGTGATCAGAGACGTTCTCCTTCAGTTCAATAATTTAACATTTTTATGAAGGATCAAATCAAAGAATTAAATAATAAAATAATACAATAATGAATAGCTGAATAATCAACAAAAAACAGGAAACATGATTAAAAAAAAAACTTCAGACGGTAAAATAAATCATTAAGAGGTCAGTTAAACATTTCTTTGACACTGATAAAACTTAAAGGGATACTTCACCTGTTGAAACATGAATCTGTATTGACATTGGGTCATATATGTAGTAGAAATGTGAAATACATTTTGAAGTTGGTGCCTTCTTGACCGAGAAAAGGCAGAAAGTGTCTTTTTGGCTCACGTGGATGAAAGACAACAACTCCCAGAATGCACAGCACTGTAGGCCACTCCCACTAAGGTCCTCTATTTACAAACATTAACTACAACACATACGGTTTCCTCAACAGATTCCCAGATTTCTTCCAGAAGGAATTAGCATCTTGGAAATTCCGTCTGGCAGAAAACGGACTCTATGTCTGTGTCCATAGGCAAACAGTGAGAGCACTGACACCACCAGTCCGCCCCAACTCGAGCCGGCCCCGGGCTTCTCGTCCTCACCGCCGCCAACAGGCCGGTCTTGTGCCTCGGCTGCGTGCAGCTCATGTTTACAAAATAAAGCCTGCAGTGTTACTTTCTGCAGGAGTGATTTTAGAGTTTGTTCATCACTGTTATGTTTTAAATAAATTGACATCTTCAGTGCCTTACTTACTCTACTCTCACAGAGTCAACAGTCACCTCTCCAGCAACAAGTCCTGATATCCACACCTGGTCTGAACCAGATGAACTCCTGAAAATCTCTAGAAACGTTTCAGGGAGTCTGCCCCTCAAATCAAAAGCTCCTCACAGCGGGAGACTTTTACTGTTGGGTGAGAGGCGGGACACAGCACAAGCATACAACGCTATGATGACAATCATGCCCCCCCCCCCCGCAAGAAATGTCAGCTAGTCCTCAGGAGTTTTGTTAGAGGAGGATCCAGGGTGGAAAGCACCAACCTTTGATTAATGGACATCCCACTCTTCCTCCCTAGCCACAGAAGTCACGCTGTCCCTGTTTAATCTTTGAGTCTCAACATCAATCTGAGCAGTGAGTGATGAGGCCGGCTTTTAAATATCTTCAGTGTCACACAGAGTTCACATTAATCACACGCTCATCAATACACCTGATCAATAACACCTCCTATTTAACACAGCAGCGCTATCACAGGTTAGCTCACCTTACATCAGGAGGTAAAGGTGTACTATAGAGTCAGGAGGCAAAGGTGAGTCAAGAGGTAAAGGTTTATTATAGAGTCAGGAGGTAAAGGTGAGTCAAGAGGTAAAGGTGAGTCAAGAGGTAAAGGTGAGTCAAGAGGTAAAGGTTTATTATAGAGTCAAGAGGTAAAGGTTTATTATCGAGTCAGGATTATTATAGAGTCAGGAGGTAAAGGTTTACTATAGAGTCAGGAGGTAAAGGTGTATTACAGAGTCAGAGGTAATAGGTGTATTACAGAGTCAGGAGGTAAAGGTGTATTACAGAGTCAGGAGGTAAAGGTGTATTATAGAGTCAGGAGGTAAAGGTGTATTACAAAGTCAGGAGGTAAAGGTGTATTACAGAGTCAGGAGGTAAAGGTGTACTATAGAGTCAGGAGGTAAAGGTGTATTATAGAGTCAGGAGGTAAAGGTGTACTATAGAGTCAGGAGGTAAAGGTGTATTACAGAGTCAGGTGGTAAAGTTGTATTATAGAGTCAGGAGGTAAAGGTGTATTACAGAGTCAGGAGGTAAAGGTGTACTATAGAGTCAGGAGGTAAAGGTGTATTATAGAGTCAGGAGGTAAAGGTGTACTATAGAGTCAGGAGGTAAAGGTGTATTACAGAGTCAGGAGGTAAAGGTGTACTATAGAGTCAGGAGGTAAAGGTTTATTATAGAGTCAGGTGGTAAGGTTGTATTATAGAGTCAGGCGGTAAAGTTGTATTATAGAGTCAGGAGGTAAAGGTGTATAACAGAGTCAGGAGGTAAAGGTGTATTATAGAGTCAGGAGGTAAAGGTGTATTATAGAGTCAGGAGGTAAAGGTGTACTATAGAGTCAGGAGGTAAAGGTGTATTACAGAGTCAGGAGGTAAAGGTGTATTACAGAGTCAGGAGGTAAAGGTGTATTACAGAGTCAGGAGGTAAAGGTGTACTATAGAGTCAGGAGGTAAAGGTGTATTATAGAGTCAGGAGGTAAAGGTGTACTATAGAGTCAGGAGGTAAAGGTGTATTACAGAGTCAGGAGGTAAAGGTGTATTACAGAGTCAGGAGGTAAAGGTGTACTACAGAGTCAGGAGGTAAAGGTGTACTATAGAGTCAGGAGGTAAAGGTGTATTACAGAGTCAGGAGGTAAAGGTGTACTATAGACTCAGGAGGTAAAGGTGTACTATAGAGTCAGGAGGTAAAGGTGTACTATAGAGTCAGGAGGTAAAGGTGTACTATAGAGTCAGGAGGTAAAGGTGTATTACAGAGTCTGGAGGTAAAGTTGTACTATAGAGTCAGGAGGTAAAGGTGTACTATAGAGTCAGGAGGTAAAG